TTTTATTACCACAAAAAAATTTATTATAATTATAGGGCACTATGAAATCCGTTTTATTTCCAAATTAATTTTTTTTCATTTTCATTTTTCTATACTCCGTTTTAATGGTTAAATTAAATTTTATTAATCAAAAAGCCTTTCTAATTAATTGAGTTTTACAGTTTTATGTTTATCAAATTCTGTTTTCCATTATTTTCTGGATTCCATTTTAATGGTTCCATTAAACTTTAATAATCAAAAGCATCTCCAATTAATTGTTTTTATAAATTTTTTTTAAAGAAGTATTTTTTATTTTTTTTTCAGAAATACTGCACATTTACATTTTTCTCCTAAATAAATTCTGGTAAATAATTCTGGTAAATACTCCTTTAAAAAGTGTTTTTTGATTATAATTTTATTATTAGTAGACTAGAACACGTGGATATGTTGTCATTCTTACACTATAATACTGAACTTTGATTTCAGTGATTTGGACTATGAGATGGACACTTGCTTCTTGCATTTTATGTTGCACTTTACTTTTTTACTTTTGGATTTCATTTGGTTTAATGACATATAGTTTAATAAAATATTCTTAAGTAAAATTGTTGTGTTTTTTGTGGGAAATTAATCGTTTAGATTAACCGATAAATTAGTCGATAGATTAATCGAAATAAAAATAGTCATTAGTGGCAGCCCTAGTCAATAGACAAATATGCAACAAAGAATAAATAAGTTGCAATACAGAATTAATTGTTGGCTTTCACTGTGAGGTTGAGTTCCCAACTGAGGAGCATAAATCTTGTGTGTGTGAGGAACCATTCACAGAGGCATTTTGACATTTCTGTGTGTGTTTGACCATTTAAGCACGCATCCGAAGCACATGCGGAGCACACGTCCTGTCAGTAGCAGATTCTCTTTCGCGACTCATTGCACTTTAATATTTCTTTTTAATATCAGCCGCATACTTGACTTTCTCATTCATCCATGTTTCTTTATTAATAACTTAAAACAGTCCTGCCCACTGAAAGCTCTGCGGATTATCGTACAGACATAAATACTACACATTTACAGCACATAGAGTACAAGGTCTCTGCGGCCAAAGTGAAAGTACCCGGTGAAATGTTTTGAAACATCTCGTGGCACAGCACAGTACCAGTTTAAGGATGTTCAAACTAGTCCTTTTTTTATATACTTTAAAATTTTCGCTGCTGTTCTAAAAATAGTTTTCCCATTACCACAAACAAGCTACATGAATCTTAAGTGCAGGAGCTCTAGATTACCATAGAAATGTAAGTGGTTTGCTGTCGTGACACTCGCGAACAGCACTGAACACGCACTTTGTAATAAAACAATTCAATAATTGTTTTATTAAAGTAAATCCTACACCAATTCTTTTCAATGCAGGCTTTATTTATTGAACATTGGTCATATTGCTGTTGCTGCTATTTCATAAATGCAGTACAGTTACAGTGGTGTTAACTTTAGACACTTCACTTTATCATACCCTTTAACCATAGTCAAATCACTGTAACTCAACCTTATGGCTTTTTGCATTGTATTTGTCAGAAGGGTTTCATTTGTATGTGTTTATTTCTGTCAGGGTGCGGGAAAGTCAGGTCCTGTTCCTGGCTGGCAAAACTAAGGGCTGTTTTTATGCTCCCCCATACCTGGACGACTATGGGGAAACAGACCAAGGGCTAAGGTACGTCTCTATTTGTGACCCTGGACCACAAAACCAGTCTCAAGTCGCTGGGGTATATTTGTAGCAATAGCCAAAAAAAAAACATTGTATGGGTCAAAATGATCGATTTTTCTTTTATGCCAAAAATCATTAGGATATTAAGTAAAGATCATGTTCCATGAAGATATTTTGTAAATTTCCTACCGTGAATATATCAAAACTTAATTTTTGATTAGTAATATGCATTGCTAAGAACTTCATTTGGACAACTTTAAAAGCGATTTTCTCAATATTTTGATTTATTGTTGATTGCACCCTCAGATTCCAGATTTTCAAATAGTTGTATC